GGCAGAGCGGCGGCGGCGGCACCATCATCACCATGAACTGCCTCACGGTGCCCGGCGTCCACCCCGGCTCCCCCAGCCGCCCGCGCGGCCAGATCCAGGTGCGGCCGCCGCGCCCGGTTGGGCCGGTACCGGCGGGATGCTCAGGGTGGGCTGGTGCCGGGGGGATGCCCAGGTCGCGGGATGGGGTCTGGGCGGAAAGCTGAGGCTGGGCCGGTACCGGCGGGATGCTCAGGATGGCCGGTACTGGCGGGATGCTCAGGGCGCGGGATGGGGTCCTGGCGGGAGGCTGAGGCCCGACCGGTACCGGCAGGATGCTCAGGGTGCGGGATGGGGCCCGGGCAGGAGGCTGGGGCTGGGCTGGTCCCGCCGGGACCTGTGGGATCCTCAGGGTGCAGGATGCTGCTTGCGGGGGAGGCTGGGGTTGAGGGGGCGATGCTGGGGCTGGGCTGGTACCGGATGGGTCACTGGGCACGTAGTGGGGGGGATTCACAGGCTGAGCCTGTACTGGGGGGTACTGGGCTGCCCCGCGCTCACCGCCGGTTCTGCCCGCAGGTGATCTTTGGGCCCATGTTCTCCGGGAAGAGGTAGGTGCGGGTCGGGGCCAGGGCTGGCGCCGGGCCGGGCATTCGGGCACCCGGCCGCTCACCGCCCTGTCTCACAGCACGGAGCTCATGCGGCGCGTGCGGCGCTTCCAGCTCGCCCAGTACCGCTGCCTGCTGGTGAAGTATGCCAAGGACACGCGCTACGGCACCGCCGGCCTCTCCACGCACGACAGGCGAGTGCCGGGCACCGGGGCCGCGCGCGGGCCGGCCGCAGCCTCGCTCACCCCTGTCCCCCACAGGAGCACCATGGAGGCGCTCCCCGCCTGTCTCCTCCAGGATGTCTACCAGGAGGCGCTGGGCTCGGCTGTCATCGGCATCGACGAGGGCCAGTTCGTAAGTGCAGGACGGGGCAGGGCCGGGGTGCTCTGTGGGGTGCAGTCTCGTCAGAGGGAGCCCCGAGTCCTCCCTGGATATCCCTGCAGCAGCTTGGTCCCGCTGGGCTTTGTTCCCGACGTGCAGCCCTTACCTGCACCCTTGCAAGCTGAGGACAGTGGGGCTCCATGTCCTGGGAACCTTGTCCCCGCTGAAGGTGTTTCTCTACCTCTTCTAGTTCCCAGACATCGTGGAGTTCTGCGAGATGATGGCCAACACCGGCAAGACCATCATCGTCGCGGCTCTTGATGGGACGTTCCAGAGAAAGGTAGGATCCTGCCCTTCAGCTGCTCTATTTAGCAGCTCCTAGAAGGCACCCAACTAAAGTGCCCCTGTCCCGGCACAGGCTTTTGGGAGCATCCTGAACCTGGTGCCGCTGGCAGAGAGCGTGGTGAAGCTAAACGCTGTGTGCATGGAGTGCTACCGAGAAGCTTCCTACACGAAAAGGCTGGGAGCAGAGCGGGAGGTGAGTTCCCCCCAGGACACAGAGCGATTCCACAGCTTCATCCTGCTGCCCCCGGGCAGGGACCTCCTTTGGAGAGCCCCCTTGCAGAGCTCAGCTCGCTCGTTCTCCTTGCCAGGTTGAAGTGATTGGAGGAGCAGACAAGTATCACTCCGTCTGCCGTACCTGCTACTTTCGAAAGAGGCCTCACCAGCCCAGCTCGGAAAACAAGGAGAACGTGCCCATGGGGGCGAAGCAGCTGGACACGGCTGCCTCCCGCAAGATCTTTGCTTCCTGACTGCTGGGGTCCACATAGGAACAAAGGAGAGGGGGAAACTGAAGGCTGCAGCTTCCAGACTTCAGCTCCATCTTCCCCTGCTCTTAGCATAAGTGTCTCAGCCCTCCCTGCCAACCGAACTGCTGCTTCTCTGCCTGGTGGGGGGAGCTGAAACAGGAGCCTGGCTAAAAGCGAGTCCCTGGCACTGAAGGGAGACGGGTGCACTCACTGGAGCAGCTGCACCAGCAGGGCCTGGGGGGCTCCATCACGGCAAGGTGGGCTGCAGGGCATTAACAGTTTGCAGGACTTGTAGCCTCTTCTCCTGGACTTCTGCACGTGCTCAGACTGGCTGCTGGCTGGCCTGTAGCGCATGTGAACAGGGCTGTTTCTTAATCTCCTGCATAGTGTTGCCAATCTCCAGGTTCCTCAAGATGCTCTACAGTAATTCACTATCTGAAACCCACTTCCTTCCAAACACAGTTTGAGGAGGAGCCTCTTTCCTTTACACAGAGCCGTGGCACAACTTTTCAACTGACATGGGCGTGGGTGCCCTGGCCCCCCTTACAGCAGCCTCTCAACAATGGTCAGTGCCCTCCCTTGCTGCAAGTGCTCATTAACACAACAGGGAAAAGGGATGGCTCCACGTGGCAGCTGGAGTCCTAGACTCTCATGAGGCTTGACCTCAGCAGGGCCTCCGCACCCCACAGTAGTTGCCTGTGAGGACAGACTCCTGTTGGAAAAGCAGGACTCCAGGAAGCCACCGCTCCATGGTGATGTTTTCCTGCTCAGGTCCCTCTTGGTGCTGCCAGTTCTCAGTGCTCAGCTACGTGGGGAGAGCCTGGAGGCTCAGGACTTGCCCTGCGTAAGAGGAGGCTACTGACATGCTGACAATCCAGCTGCTGTAAAGGGGCTCCGCTTTGAGGGGATGGTTCTTGGCTATAGTCACGTCCCTCTGCTCCCTCCTGGGCCTTCACAGAACTCTTCTGCCTGCTGCCTCCTCTGCTCTGCCCTGGCTCACAGCTCCCCTTCCCCTTTGTTTCACTTAGCTTCCACAGTCTCTTACTCCTTGCAAAGGTGTTTTTAGGTCAGAGTCCACAGGCTCCACACAATAAACAGTTCCTGTTTCTGTTCAGGCTGCTCCGGTCCAATCTCCAAGCTCAAATACCGCATTATCGCCAGTATGTTGTTTACCCGAGCACTCTAGCTAGCAGGGTGCTCCCGTCCAGCAGGTTGCAAGGGCAGCCCGAAGGAAACCTGCCTCCACCTGCGTTACTTGACGACATTTTAGCTGCAGAGCTTGCAAGCGCCGCACTGCCCGGCCTTGCTCCTCCCCGGGGCCTGGGGAAAGGAAGCGGTGCTGCTATTTGAGGTTAATAAATAATGAAAGTGGCTGTGTGTGCTGTGTACGGGCGGCTCTGACGCAGCTCTGCTCCCACCCGGCGGGCTGCACTCCCACAGGCGGCAGCGGTGCCAGGACGGGTCACGCGGCTGCTGTCGGGAGCCGGCCACGCCAGGCCCCTGTGTGACGGCAGCCCGGGAGCAGCAGGAACGCCGCCTAAAAATAGGCACCACCGCGGGGGCTGGTGCGGGGCTGCTGAGCCCGGCCCCTGGGAAGCCGCTTTATTTCCCCAGCAAAGAAAGACCTGCGGCGGCCAAGTGAAAAAGTTTATTCCACCTCTACAGTGACAAACAAAGGAACGCTCAAACGGCAGCCACCGCTCACGAAGCTCCCGTGGCTGCCGGCAACAGCTTCAGAACAGGCGCAGCAGAAAAACAACCTGAGACAACAGCCTGCAGAGCCCAGCGCGGAGGCGCAGCCCAAGGCTCAGAGCCGCGGGAGGAGGCGCTGCGGGGCGGCGCGTGGCTCCGGACACCCCGCAGCTCCCAGCGCCGCCCCGGGCGGGACGGGGCCGGCCCCGCGGGGTCGGTGTGCGCAGGGCTCCGGCAGGGAAGGCACCGGCGCCCAGGCAGGCACCGTCCGGCTGTGCGAGGCGCCCGGTGCCAAGCGCAAGGCGGCACTTGGGCAGCGGAGGCCAGCGGGGCTGGCAAAGGCAACAGTGTGAGGACAGGGCAGCAGTCACGAGGGCCGGGCCCCGGCGGCAGCCGGGGGGAGCACAGCCTCGGGCTGCCTCCTCCCGCGGCCGCTTCCCGGGCAGCGCAAAGGGAGGGAGCCGGGGCGGGAGCGGGGCAGAGCGCAGAGCCTGCCTGGAGCCCGGAGCACGTGGACACCGCAGCACGCGGGGCCCGGAGCACCAGCACCAAAGCCAGGGGTTTCACACAAAGCAGCCCCCACCCTCTGCCCCATTCAAGTCACAGCCCCCCCCTTCCCACTCCGAGAAAGAAAATTGCACTTGGGCGGCGCGGGGCTCAGTACACGGGCGGCGGCTGGTAGCCCTCGGAGGCCTCGTTGGCCTGGGTGAAGGGCGGCTGCTGGTAGCTGTCGTGGCTCACGCTGGGGTAGCTGGCGTAGGGGCCGGGCGCCTCCGAGGACGGGTCCACGTAGCTCTGCGCAAAGTCCTGCACGCCCATCTTGTACCGCTGGTAGGCGAAGGCGATGAGCAGCCCCTGCGGGCGCGCGGCGCCGTCAGCGCCCACGGCGGCGAGGCCGGCACGGCCCGGAGCCCCCGGCGCCCGCAGCCCCCGCGGCCCCGCAGCCCCCCCGGCCTCCGCAGCCCCCGCGGCCCCGCAGCCCCCCCGGCCCCGCGGCGCGGAGCTCACCCACGAGAAGATGGAGAAGAAGCTGAAGGCGATGGCGGCGCGCGCCGAGTCGGCCCCCACGTGCACGTCCGTGGACAGTGTCCATGACCACTGGTTGGTGAGGAAGCAGAAGCCGACGAACCAGAGGAAGGTCCAGAGCCCTGGGGGGAGCACGTGAGCGCCGGGCAGGACCCTCGGGCCGGGTCCCGCATGCGGGAGCCCAGGTGGGCACCGGGAGCCGCCCCGGCGCCCCCCACGTCCCCGGCCGCCCGCGCGGCCCTGCGCGCTACCTGAGAAGCCCAGGTCCGCCAGCACCAGGTACTTGCGGTCGGCAGCGCTGCTGATCTGCGGGAAGTAGAGGTCCACCATGAAGAAGAAGAGGCAGGCGAGGAAGGCGAGGACGCCGATGCCGATGCCGTAGCGGCAGGCGTCCTCGTTGCGGTTGAAGATGCAGAAGAGCTCGGGCGAGGAGGGCACGTTGGTGTAGCCCTCGCCCACGAGGCAGCAGAACACGATGAGGGAGAAGAGCTGCGGGAGGGACGGGCGTCACGGCGGCACCCCGGCACCGCGGCCGACGGCTGCCGCGGGGAGTGGGAAACGGGGACACCGGGGAGCAACAGGGCCCCGGGAGGCCGCAGCGGGGGCACACGGCCCCGGGGGGAGCAGGGCCCAGCAGCGGCGCTAGGCCTGGCTCGGCTCGGCTCGGCTCGGCCCGGCCCGGCCCGGCCCGGCCCGCCGCACTCACCGCGCTGGCGATCCGCGCCAGCACCTGCGGCTGCTGCACGAAGAGCCGCAGGTCGAAGGCGCCGCCGGCCTTGGCCGCCCCGTAGGCGCCGCTGCCGCCGCCGCCGCCCTCCATGGTGCCGGTGCCGCCGCCGCGCGGCTGCGCGACCAGGCCCGACGGCGGGGACGGGGAGCGGGGAGCCCCCCCGCCCGCCGCCCTCCTGGCGGGCTCCGAGCCCCTTCACGTGGCGGGGCCCGAGCCCCTCGACCCAGCGGGGCCCGAGCCCCTCGACCCAGCGGGGTCCGACCCACCGCACCCGGCCGGGCCCGAGCCCCTTCACGCGGCAGGAACCGAGCTCGTTGACCCGGCGGGGCCCGAGCCCCCGGGCTGCTGCACGTCTCGGGTGCTGCGCCCCGGGCCCTGCTCCCCGCATCGCGCCCGCCCCAGTAACGCGGGCGGTGGCGCCGTCGGGGCTGCCCCCGACCCGGGCCCTGCCGGTTCCCTCCTCCCCTCGGGCCCGCCCCGCCCCGCTTTGAACAGCCCCGCACTGCGCGGGGGCCCCGCGGGCCCGGACGGGGCGGGGATCGCCGGTGCCCGCCCGCCGCCGCTCCCGACGTGCCTTGTGGGAGCGGCGTGGGCGGCGGGAGCGGCGGAGCCGGTGAGCGGACACGGGCCCTGCGGGGCTCCGACGGGCCGGGGCGGGGACGGGACGGGCCGCGGTCCCTCCGCTCCCGCGGCCGCAGGGGCGGGCGGCGCTGCGGGCCCGGCCAGCCCCTCGCGGTACCGGCCCCGCGGGTCCGGGGGCAGCCCGGTCCAGCCCGGCGGGGGTTAAGGCCGGGCTCTGCATGCTCCACCCCGACGGCGGCCTCGCGGTCGAGCAGCCTCCTGGGGTGCTGGGGGTCGCGGGGTGGCCGGGCTGGACCTGCAGGCCCCGAGGGACACTGGCCCCACCGTTACCCTGGTCTGGCCCGGGCCGTTCAGCAGGGACAGGACCCGAGTGTCTCCCCAGGGTGCAGCGCCTGACACCCTCCGATAACGGGCAGAGCCTCCCTGTGCCCCGCGGCCTGGCTCCAGTGTGTGGTGCTGCCGCGCTGCCCACGCAGGGACTGTGCCGCGCCGCACCCATCGCCCCTGGCTGCACCCATCGGCGCTGCGTGTGCAGCATCCCCGCCACGCTGCACCCATCCGCACTGTGCCTGCTGCCACTGCACCCCCTTGTCCCCCCTTCCTTCCTGCTCCCGCCTGCACTGCCGCTGAGTGGGCAGCTCCGCTGTGCCCTGTTGGGGCCCTTGGGGCCAAGCAGCCCCTGCGCCCCAGGGACACCCAGGCCTCGGGCCGGGGAGCCACTCAGTGCCCGCTCACGGCCACTGCTCAGCCCCGCAGGAAGGCGTGTGGGAGGAGCGCGGCGGCGCCGCACGGAGCCGCAGGATGTCCGGGCCACCCGCCGTCACCCTGCACGTCCCCGAGGACGCCGAGAGCGAGGAGTAAGTGCCAGGTGGCTCTGCCTCCCTGCGAGCCCGAGCACTGCCCAGGCTGTGCCCTGCGTGCCCCGGCCCGGGCTGGTGCTGGCTGCAGCTCCGGCCGAGACGGTAGCCGGTCCGTGTGCCGCAGGCAGGAGCCGAGCCCCTGCAGCGAGGGCGCCATGCACAGCTCCTTCCGGCAGCTCATCCAGGAGCAGAGCAGCCTGGCGGAGGCGGAGGCGGCGGCCGCGCTGGAGCTGGAGATGCGGGCGCAGGGCAGAGGTAGGAGCTGCGGCAGCGGCGCGGGGCAAACAGAGGGGTCATGGCAGCGGCGTGGGGCTGAGCTGTGCGTGCGCAGCGCGGCCTCAGCGTGGTGCTCCCTGCAGAGCCCCCGGAGCCGTGGCCGGAGCGCGGCGAGGAGCACGGCGGCTTCTCGGCGGCCACGCTGCGCGTGCTGGCCAGCATGCCCAGCCGCACCATTGGTGAGCGTCCGGGGCAATGGGAGCGGGGCTGGGGCGCCCACCACGGGGCTGCCGCTCACCAAGGGCGCCGCCGCCGCAGGGCGCAGCCGTGGGGCCATCATTGCCCAGTATTGCAACCGCACGGCCCGGCTGCGGCAGCGCGGCGGCCGCCCGTCCCTGCGGCAGCTCGGCCTGCACCCCGACGCCGACCCCGCCGCGGGCACCCTGCAAGGTGAGCGCTGGGCCGGGCTGGGGGCCAGTGTCGTCCCGCTCGGCGCCGGGTCCCTGGGAAGGACCCGGTCCCAGCGCCCTGTGCCGCAGAGAAACGGAGCCTCCTGGCCAAGGAGCTGCTGGGCCTCTCGCCGGGGCAGCGCGGGCGCCTGCTGCGCGCGGTGCCGCTCAGCCTGGCCGAGAAGCGCAGCCTCAGGTGGGTGGCCGCGGCACCGCTGCCCCAGCCAGCAATGCCCCCGTGAGTCCCCCCTGAGCCCCCCGTGATGCCCTCTGTGCCCATCTGCTGCAGGCGGGAGCTGAGCGAGCAGAGCGGCTCCCCCCAGGACAGCGCCCAGCACCAGGCCCCCTTCTCGCCCTGCAAGTACCACCTCATCCTCGTATGTTGGCACGGGGCCACCGCGCAGGGCTGGGTGGGGTGGCAGCAGGGACGAGGCAGGGAATGGGCAGCAAGGGGATGAGGCAGGAGATGGGGGGACGTGGGGCCCATGTGCTGGCCTGGGTGGCAGGGATGGGGAGGATGGAGGACAGGGGGCAGGGAACGTGGGCAGGTGATGAGGGGACATGGGACAGGGCAGGGGATGGGGCACCGCGGGAGGCTGTGGGGGAGGTAGCAGGCGGGGGGCCGCGGGCAGGCAGGGGCGCCCCGCGCTGCCCCGTGCTCTCTGCCCGCAGGGCTGCCGCTCGCTCTGGTATGGGCTGCTCTCGCTGTGCCCCAACGCCCGGCCCTGGCACGGCGCCCTGAAGCGCATCAGCGGCCGCTTCGGCTCCAGTGTCCTCTCCTACTTCCTCTTCCTTGAGAGGCTCCTGGCCTTCAACATCATCCTCTTCCTCCCGCTCCTGGGCTTCGTGGTGGCGCTGCAGGCGGCCCATCCGCCCTCGCCGGCCCCCAGTCCTACGCCCTTCACCGGCCTCGAGATCCTCACCGGAGCGGTACGGCCGGTGAAACCGCCTGCGCTCGCCCAAGGGACAGGGGACATCCCGGGCTGTCCCGCGGAGCGGCATTGCCGCCCCATCCTGCGTCCTGCCATGGGAAAATGTCCCGGCTCGCCCTGCACGCTGCTACGGGATGGGGACCTGCCTCTTCCTACGTTCTCCCATGGCACAGGCTCCCAGCTCACGCTGCGCTCTCCTGCAGGGCTACTTCACCCACTCGCTGCTCTACTACGGCTACTACAGCAACACGTCCCTCCCCAGCCAGCCGCCCTACGCGCTGCCGCTGGCCTACGCGCTCACCACGGGCGCCTGCTTCGTGCTCACCTGCGTGCTGCTGCTGTGCAGGTGAGCGCCCGGCGCCGGCGCCCGCGGTGCGCATGCGCCCGGCCTCACGCCGAGCCCCCGCAGCATGGCCCGCGCCTTCGGGGAGAGCTACCGCCTGGGCGGCCCCGCGGGCGACGCCGCCATCAAGGTGTTCTGCGCCTGGGACTTCAAGGTGGTGCGGCGGCGCTGGGCCCAGCTGCAGGCCGACAACATCCGCACCCAGCTGAAGGTGAAGGCGGGCGGAGCGGCCGGGGCCGCACGGGGACCCGGCCCGCGGTGCCGCTGTGGTGCCGTGGGATGGCTCCCGGCTCCGCAGGCACTGTGTTGTGCTGCTGACACCGGTGTCCCACAGGAGCTGCTGGCGGAGCAGCGGTCACGCTCGGGCTCCCGGAGCCGCTGCCGGCACGTGGCCGTGCGCCTCCTGGCCTGGCTGCTGGCGCTGGGCACGGTGCTGGGCTGCGCACTGGCCGTGCACCACGTCTCGGAGCACATGCACGCGGTGAGCGCGGCCCCGCCGCCGCCCCGGCCCCCCGGTGGCCGAGCCCTCCCGGCACGACCGTCACCCGCGCCGGCCCGCCCGCAGGTGCAGCAGGCGGCTGGCGGCGGGCGGCAGCGGGAGGCGGCGCAGCTGGCGCTGCCCCTCGCCGTGACGCTCCTCAGCACGGCTGTGCCCCACGTCTACAACGCGCTGGCCGCCTGGGAGAAGCACGAGTCCCCCGTGCTGGAGGTGTACGTGGCCGTCTGCAGGTAAGCGGGCGCCTCTGTGCCCAGGGGGTCCCGCGCCGGGATCCCGCGCACCCCTGTGCACCCAGCCCGCGGCTCCCGCGGCCTCTGCTCCGCAGGAACCTGCTGCTGAAGTCGGTGCTCCTGGGGCTGCTTTGCTACCAGTGGCTGAGCCGCGGCGGTGTCTGCTCGGCGGAGGCGGTGAGTGAGGCCCGCGCGGCGCTGCGCGGCCCTGTGCAACTGGCCGGGAGCCCGCGGCACCGGCCCCACTGACCCCTCGCCCGGCAGTGTTGGGAGACCTGCGTGGGCCAGGAGCTCTTCCGCTTCGTGGTGATGGACCTCCTGTTTGCGCTGCTGGACACGCTCTTCGGGGAGCTGCTCTGGAGGTAGCGTGACGGGACAGCAGCGCTCGCCAGCGGGGACAGCCGCAGGTCCCGCTGCGCGCGCGGCACCGGCCCTCGCAGCGGGTTCTGAGCCGAGCTCCCCTGCCCGCCCAGGCTGCTCTTGGAGAAGAGGCTCAAGAGGAAGCAGAGGCCCGAGTTCGATATCGCCCGCAACGTGCTGGAGCTCATCTACGGGCAGACGCTGACGTGGTGAGCAGCTCGCGCCCAGACGCCCGGCGCACACAGGGTGCCGGTGCCGGTCGCTCCCATGGGAAGGGACAAGCTGCTCCCGGTGCTTTGCCCCAGCAAGCGCCTCCCCCCAGGCTGGGCATCCTCTTCTCGCCGCTCCTGCCGGCCGTGCAGATGCTGAAGCTGCTGCTGCTCTTCTACATCAAAAAGGTGCCTGGCCCGCGGCTCCCGTGCCGGCTGCGCTGCCCCGGTGCCCGGCGGCTCCCGGCGGCCGCAGGCACCACGATGGGGCACTGCGATGGGGCAGCTCCTCCGCGCGGGGCCGACCCGTCCCGGGGCCCATCGCGGCCATGGCAGCCGCGCTCTGCTCCTCCCCGCAGAGCAGCCTCGTGCAGAACTGCCAGGCGCCCAGCAAGCCCTGGCAGGCGTCACACATGAGCACCGTCTTCCTCACCCTGCTCTTCTTCCCCTCCTTCCTGGGCACCGCCGTCTTCTGCTGCTACGCCGTCTGGTCGTGAGTACCGGGGCTCCGCTGCGCCCCATGCTCCGCACGGCAGCACCGAGGGCCAGCGGACACGGTGCCTTCCACGGGCACCTCGCGCCCAGCTCCGGGCTGGGAAACGTTCTCCCCAGGGAACGCAGGTCAGAACTGAGCCCTGAGCCGGCTCCCGGTGCCCCGTCCGCAGGGCGAAGCCGTCGGCGGCCTGTGGCCCCTTCCGCGGCTCCAAGAGCATCTACGAGTCGGGGAAGGGCTGGCTGCGCTCGCTGGAGAGCTCGCAGCCCGCGCTCTCCTGGTTCGCCTGGATCCCCCAGCACCTGCTGGAAAGCGCCGCCTTCCTCTTCCTCGCTTCTGGCGCCCTGCTGTGCGTGGGGATGGCACCCGGCTGGCGGGGGCCGCGAGTGGGGACCCCTGCCCGGGGGTGGCTGGGGTGCAGCCCGCCGGGGGCTGCAGCAGTGCGCGTCCCCGCAGGGCCGTGATCTACTTCAACATCCAGGTGGTGAAGGGCCAGCGGAGGGTCATCCGCCTGCTGCGGGAGCAGATCGCCAAGGTGAGCGCGCGGAGCTCCCCGCGCTGCCCGCCGTGCGCCCGGAGCCTGGAGCCGGGCCCGGGGAGCCGGCCCGAGCGCCGCCCTGCAGCTCAGCCCGCCTCTGCCCCTGCAGGAGGGAGAAGACAAGGTCTTCCTCATCCAGAGGCTTCACTCCGTTTACGAGCAGGACAAGAGACGCAGCTGAGCCCCGGGAGCGCGCGGGGACCGTCGCGGGCTGCTCCGCTCACGGGAATGGGCGGCCGGGACAGGGAGCCGCAGGACAGCAGGGCAGGCGGGCGCAGAGCCCCCCGACCCCCCCGGCGAGCAGGGCGGCGCAGGGGCACCCGGCCGCGCTCCGGCACCCGGGACTCGTCACCTTGAATCACGTGTTTTTTAACGATGACCCTGTGGACGCGCAGCAGGGCCTGCGCCCCCGTGAGCCCCCACCTTCCCCTCCATCCCGCACTTCCTACTGTTTTTCACTCTTGCAAGACAGAGCACTACAGCCCGGAGCGGCCGTGCCGTTTCCTGCGCTCGGCCGCGTCTTCCTCGCGGGAACGGGGCCGTCCCCGCGGCTCCAAGGGGCAGCTCTGCCCTCGAGGGCTTCGGCGGGAGGGCGGCGCCGAGGGGCAGAGCGCGCGCCGGGGCGCAGGACGACGCGGAGGCGCCTCGAGGCCGCGCAGCTTTATTGCACCCGCAGCGCGCGGCGTCCCCGCGACGGGCAGCCGGGCCCCGGCGCGGCCTCAGAGCGCGGCCTGCAGCCACTGCAGCACGTCGGCGAGGCCGGTGCCGTCGCGCGCGCTGGTCTCCACCATGGCGATGGGCTGCGTGGCGCAGGACACGATGTCCTGCATGCGGAGCAGCGACTTCAGCTCCACCAGCGACATGTAGCAGGGCAGGTCGCTGCGCCGGGACGCGGCAGGGAGCAGAGGGGAGGCTGCGTTACCCGCTCCGCTCGCCCCGTCCCGTCCCGGTTGCTGCCCATGGGCCGGCTCCTCAGTGCCAAACCCGCTGGGAAGGGAGACGGGAGCAGCCACCGTGCCGGCGGGCAGGGCCTCCCCTTACATCTTATTGAAGAGGACGAGCACGGAGACGGAGGCGAGCGGCTCGGCGGAGAGCACGGAGAGCAGCTGGGTGCAGGACGCGGCCACCTGCGTGGGGCTGGCGGCGTCGATCATGAACTGCGGGCGGGAGAGCGGCTGGAGGCGGCCGGGCCGCGCGGGCCGGGCCCCCCGGTTCCGCGGTGCCGCCGCTCACCAGGACGGCGCCGCAGTCCCCGTAGTAGCTGGGCCAGATGGGCCCCATGCAGCCGCCCAGCTCGCGGATCGTCACCTTCCTGCGCAGCAGCAGGTCCGTGAGGTTGGTGCCGACCTGCGCGGCACGAGAGGCGCTGCCGGCCCGCCCGGCCCACCCGCCCGGCCCGCCCGGCCCGGCCCTACCGTGGGCAGCGTGGCCGGCGGCTCCCCCAGCCCCCGCGCGGCCTCCTTGGAGCTCAGCTGTGCGGCGCGTCAAGGAGCGCGGCGGGGAGAGCGCGGCCCCGCGCCCCGCC